TATGAAAGAAAGATCACAGTTAGGTTCACAATGTGATCATTTACACTTGCTGCTGGCAACTAGATATACTCCTCTGCCCACAAAAGGAACATGTCCAGGCATTGCACTTTTTACAATTAAACAAAGGCATGCAGGGGCAGGGCCAATAGTTCCCTGGTGTATGCTCCGTGGCAACTCCTTAACCAATCAGAGTTGACTTTCCAACCAATGGTGTCCCTTTGTCCATGTAGTATAAATTGAAGTCTGGCATTCTTGTGTCAGTCCTGATGCGCAGCAGACAAAAGCCTTCGACAGCCTGTCTCTTTCCCTTCAGCAATACTTGTGACAGTTTATTATACACACAGTCCCTGGGTTGTTCAACAGGTTCTGTTCTGGAGTCCGTTTACAAGTCGATGTGAACACAAGTCAGAACACAGTGCAGGACAATGGAAAGCAGCTGCTGGTCAGTACAGGGAATGTTCATATGTCGGGTCTTTAAAATGACACCCCTGTATGGGATCACATTTGTAAGTATAAGTGCTCAGAAGTTGGATGTTTGTGGAACAGGACTCCATGCACATCCATTCCGACCACATTAACCCTGTTAGAGATCAGAGACTTTCCCCCAGGTCTGAGTAAACACTAGCTTCACAACCCTCCTTTGAGAAAGAACATGACTGTCTCAGAGAAATGGCTGTTCATGTTTTATGGGGCTTTTTTCCTGTAATGTGAACATTCCTGTCTAATTGATAATGTGTTTTAGCAGCTGCCTGGGGCATGGGTTGGAGTAGGGTGTGGGGTGGGGTGGGGTGCTGGTGGGTGGGTGGTCTTTGGTGACATCCCCTCAGTTGCAGGGACCCTGCATCCTATGTATAATTCAGATCGAGGCGACATTAGGGGGATTGCCGAGCTGTGGGTTGCACGGAGGCCGTTTGCTGTTTTTCCACCTGGTTTGTTTCTGAACAGCTGCATGCTGCAGGAGAGATGATGAATTGTGTGTCAGTGTGATGCCGTACACTCAGCTTGGCAGAGAAGACAAAGCAGCTGCTGACACAGTCTTTATAAAGAGGAGGGTTGGAATATTGCCATGCTGCAATATGTGTGTGGGCTAGTCTCACGGTTATGTCCCTTACTCTGAGTCAGGAGCAGGGAGAGTGATCAGGGACAGAGTCCCCTCGCAGCATGAGGCAGACAAATAAAGATCCCTGTCACCCCAGCACAGCAACCTTTTATTTCAAGGCATTGTTGGAAAAAGGAAAGACTTGCATTCCTATGGCGCCTTTCGCAACCTTGGGACTTCCCAAGGCACTTTGCAGCCAATAATGTATTTTCTGAAGTGTAGCCACCATAGCAGTGTAGGAAATGTGGCAAGTAAACGTTTGCACCACATAAGTGGGAGGTGAGGACCAGCTCAAATGAGAGAATCGAACCATTGCTCCTTGACATTCAATGGCCTTCCTAATGCTAAATCCCTCTTGTCAACATGTCAGGGGTTACCACTGACCAAAACCTGAACCGGACTAACCGTATTAATACAATGGCTACAAGAGCAGGTCAGAAGCTAGGAAGTAACTCATTTCTCAACTCCTCAAAGCCTGTCCCACCATCTACAAGGCACAAGTCAGGAGTGTGATGGAATACTCCCCACTTGCCTGGATGGGGGCAGCCCCAACAACACTCAAGAAGCTCAACACCATCCAGGACAAAGCAGCCCCCGCCTGATTGGCACCACATCCACAAACATCCACTCCCCCCACCACCGATGCTCAGTAACAGCAGTGTGTACCATCTACAAGATGCACTGCAGAAATTCACCAAAGATCCTCAGACAGCACCTTCCAAACCCACGACCTCTTCAATGTCGAAGAACAGGGTCAAAAATCACATGACACCAGATTATAGTCCAATATGTTTATTTGAAAACACAAGCTTTCAGAGCTCAGTTCCTTCCTCAGGCATAATGAAAGCTTGTGTTTTCAAATAAACCTGTTGGACTATAACCTGGTGTCGTGTGATTTTTGACCTTGTCCATCCCAGTCCAACACCGGCACCTCCACATCTAGAAGGAGAAGGGCAGTAGATACATGGGAACACCACCCCCTGCAAGTTCCCCTCCAAACCACTCACCATCCTGACTTGGAAATATCATTCCTTCACTGTCACTGGGTCAAAATCTTGGAATTCCCTCCCTAAGGGCTTTGTGAGTTGACCCACAGTACGAATTGCACTGGTTCACGAAGGCAGCTCACCCCCACCTTCTCAAGGGCAATTAGGGACGGGCAATAAACGCTGGCCTAGCCCCAGAGATGCCCCGTGTCTATGGATAAAGAAAAAGAAGTGATTTGCACACAGCAAGATCCCATAAACTGCAACTAGATCCTAACCATCTCATTTATTTTGTGCAGTGTTAAAATAATGGCCCAAGGTATCAGTGAGAATGTTCTGCTCTTTTCTTCAACAGACGTGTGAGATCTATTACATTCGCCTAACTGGAAGTGAACGCCTAAAGGCCAGCATCTCCAATGGTGCAGCACTCCCTCGGCACTGCACACCAAAGGCTAGCCCAGATTATTGGCATAAATGCCTGGAGTGGGTCTTGAACCCACAACGTCTGGCTCAGAGACAAGCAAGTGTTTCCAATGAAGTGAGGTTTACTCCTGACCAATTAGCACAGCATCTGTCCTTACGGTGCTCCTGGTGCATTGGTAATATCGCTGGCCTGGTAGTGTTCTGCGGAAAGGGTTTTAACTCCCACGATGAGAAATGGTGAAATTTGATTTCAACAACCTTGGGAATATTTTGCCTCATGGTGAGCATGTTTAAACATGCAGTCGGTTCACCAGTATCAATCCAGGAGGGAAATCTGCCATCCATACCTGGCTCTGGCCTACATGTGACTCCAGAGCCACAGGAATTTCGTTGTCTTTTAAGTGGAGACTGTAGAATGGTGGAAGAAGACACTTAGTTCCATGACAAATAGGGATATAACCAAATATAACACCCACACGCTATCCCAGTGGAGATCTCAGTGATGCTCTTCATGTGGAAATGGTGGGGAGATTGGGAGCTGTGATAGAGACATAGTCTTATTTCTGCTGCAGTTTTACACATAATCTCAACTAAATGAAATGCAACAGACCGATAATTCTGAGCATTGACTTGTGTTTTGCAAGATGTGGGTTTTTAATTGCCAAAATTGTCTTTGCCCAATGTTTAGTGTGTTGTCAACTGCACAGCTACTGTAGCCAGTTACTGGACTCGAAATGTTAACTCTCCTTTCTCTCCACAGATGCTACCAGACCTGCTGAGTTTCTCCAGCAAAGTCTGCTTTTATGCTTTTAAACCTCCAGCGCCCACAGTTATTTGTTTGAGTTCCATTTAAGCTAGTTGTCGGGTTTAGTGTCTGTCAGTGACAGGGTTTATATCAGAGTCTGTGTCATTCACAGCAGGAACACACCGAGATACTCAAGAACCTACGGTTCACCCTGGTCTTTGTCCACTGTGTGATGGAGATTGCTTCGGCTAAGGGTAACCCCTTCGAGATGGTCTGCAGCTCGGTGAACTCAGCCAACCAGCTACAGGAGAGCGTGGTCGCTGATCAGATTAGTCTGCTCAGCAAAGAGTGGAGGTGAGTCCCACAGACTGGGGGCAGAAGATTCAGGTTTACACAGCCTTATGTCATTCAGGATGGCCCAGTACATCACACCCTACCACCTGGGTTTCAAACCTCTCGGTAACTTCATTTCCAAATCCCTCTATCACTGCCTCCCTATCACTGTAACCTCCTCCAGCCCCTACAACCCCTCCCTATCTCTGTATCCTCCTCTAGCCCCTACACCCCCTCCCTATCTCTGTAACCTCCTCCAGCCCCCTACACCCCCTCCCTATCTCTATCCTCCTCTAGCCCCTACACCCCCTCC